AGGAGATAAGGATTGCTACAAATAAAGGGGATGATTATCCTAATCCTATAATGATTAGGATAACTACAACATATGGATAAATACAAGGGACTGGACGTGTGGATAATGATGAGCTGCTGGCCGCCTGGTCTTGGGACTGAAGTAGACTGATGTGGTCTGGTCCATTTCCGGATATGTCCCAACCACCATTTCTTAACAAACATTTTATAGAAGAGCCAAACTTGATTTTTATAAGAAAGTATATATTTTATCAACATTTAAATATAAAAATTAATTTTTTTGTTGGGTATCAATGGGCCCAATTCTTGTCACTGGCTAATGGGCCTTAGTGTAAAACTTCGAGATAAAAACAGGTTTTTAAAGTCCTGATCCGATAAAGACACACTAACCAAAGAAGAAAAAAAACTATTGTCAGTGCGCTTCTTTGTTTCTGAAACGTACACAACTACTTCACCACCGATCTTCATCTTTTTGCGAGATTCCTTCAGGTTTTCTCCTCTTCTCCCAATTGATTTACCTATCTGTTTGATATTTCTTTTCAATTCTTCTTCATATAGATCTTTCTCTTTGCTCTTCTAGGTTTGATGTTTTTTTATTTAATCCTCATATAGAAAATCTCCCCAGTTTCCTTAGTCCGATCTTCATCGTAACTAATTAATTTTATATTGTTTGTTATTATTAGAGCTCTTCTCTGAGAATGCTAGATTCTTATTCTTATTGAATTATTATAAAGAGAGTAAATGAATTTTTGGATAATTTCAGGTTCACACTATACTAAGCAACAATGGCGTCGGCGAACAGAGAGATGGCAGTGTACTGTTTCGACACTTTGGTCTCTCACTACAACAATGAAGAGTCTCCTCCACCTGCCTTTGACGACGCCAATCAGTACGTTTCATTTAAACTCCTCTTTGTCTTTGTGTGTTGTTATGTTAATGACATGCAATTTCTGATTGTATATATCTTCAATCCTTGCATTTGCATGTTGTTAGTTAGTAGTAAATATGTAGAATAGATTAGATGATTGGGTGTTTACATCATCTTTTCTTACTCAATAGTCCATTTGGTTGTTTTCTTTGTAGCCCATTGTTTGTCACCTGGAAGAAAATTGTGAATGGTGGGGAGCCTAGGCTCCGTGGTTGTATTGGTACACTTGAAGCACGACGCTTGATCAGTGGTTTCAAGGACTATGCCTTGACCAGGTACTCCTCAACATATTTGCTATTCCTTTTGGCGTCTGCCCATAGCTTAATCTCTCTCTTTCTAGTTATAAATGCACCTTTTTGCTTTTATGTAATTATTACAGTGCCTTGAGGGATCGTAGGTTCCCACCAATCCAACCCAAAGAACTGCCATTTCTGCAATGTACGGTGTCAGTCCTGACTGATTATGAAGATGCAGAGGATTATCTTGATTGGGAGGTACTATTTTCACTCTTCATGTCAATTCACCTGTTTTTTTTTTAAACAACATTAACATCTGATAAAACCTTATTATGTCACATCCCTCATGTGTTATCCACACTCACTTAGTTTTTTTCTTTTTCTGATTTGACTATGAAGGTCGGAAAGCATGGTATAATCATTGAGTTCACTGAACCTGTGACTAACATAAAGCGAAACGCCACATATCTGCCTGAGGTGCCAGCTCATGAAGGTATAACATATTGCTCAGGAGTTTGTAACTTGAACCTATATGTAGTGTTGATCTCTTGGTAATGCTCTACTTATATATCAACTCCTTTTGTCGCAGGATGGACAAAGATAGAGGCAATAGATTCGCTTGTGCGTAAAGCAGGATACGATGGAGAAATAACAGACGCAGTGCATAGGAGAATCCAGCTAACACGTTATCAGAGTACATTATTCAGCATGCATTATAGTGAATACCTTTCATACGTGAAGGCCACAAGAGGTCTTGTCCCGGCTATTAATGGGACCAGCAAACCCGCCACGGCCTTCTCCTGATGATATGCACCATGAAACTGCTGCCGTGATTGATCCTCTTTGGGACCTCTCTCCTAATTTATCATTGTATTTGTGATTCGAAACTGTAAGGCTCTCTCTGATTTCTTCTTCAACGAGACAAAGATTTAGCTGTTTCACCATTTGTCTGAAACGCAACCGCACTTACCTATTCTAATGAAGTTCATCGTTTTATCTTCAGATAGTTTACATTTACAATCCTTAACATATTTGCTGTACGCAAAAACACGAAATAAGAAAGTAAAATGAAACATTCCAAAAGTGAAGAAAATAAAAGAAGCATTTGGTACTAAAAATTATAAATGCCCTTTTTATGTTAAAGCATAAACTAGAGAACAAAATGTAATACTACGTAGAGCATTGGAGTATCATCATCCAGAAACATCCTACTACAACCAGTACAGAGATATAAAGATAAGGAGAAACAGATTCACATCACGAAGATGGTCTGGTCTTACAAAAGCTTTTAAGATTCTATTAGTCGCCAGTCACAAAAGACTTCTGCTCGTAGTACTTCTTTTCACTAGCTTCCTTTTTCAAATTACGTTTCTATAAAATTGCAGAACGATTTCAAGTGAGAGATTGGTCAGAAGTGAAAAACAATAAGCGAGTAAGAAAACTACTTGCCTGATAAGCTTCATGGTTCGCTACAATCCTCTTGATTATGGTGGAAGTTGTGATGTCAAGAGGGCTTTCTAGGATCTGGAATATGCCCATGCTTATTGGTACAGCATACGGATTACCTTCCTCCTGTGTCAAATCATCAACCACATTCTGAGAATATCCATCTCTTTGTAATCTAACCTTACTATATTATATCATACATTTGAAACTGATTTTTTACCTTTTGGAAATCATCACTCTCGGCTACTGTACCATGAACCACCAAGGAAATGTCAAATGTTGTGATCTGCATTATACAAATCAATGTCAAAGATGGCTTTTCATGGAAGCCACATTTTGGTTAATCAATACGTATAGGGCGAAACCTCACCGTATCTTTTGACACTTCCGATGGAGCACCAATTATCACCTCATCTACATAGCGGCATGCCAGAACACTTAAGCTTCTTTCATGGAGATTCATGATTGGGTGACGTGCTCCACTTCTAGCACTGTACATCAACGTAAAGCTGAGATAAACACTGAGAAATTCACTATAAAGCAAACTGCCAAAGTTGAGCTTTCTTGAACCTGACAGTCTGGTCGTTATGTATCCCAACAAGAAGAAAGTCTCCAAGCTCTCGAGCACGCCTGAGAATCTGTATGAATTAGAATAATCAAGAACAAGAATCAACAACATCGGCAGAATAAATCTGGATAGTCGCTCAATAGTATTATAGAAATTTAGTTGGACTAATCGACAAACATACAAGACAAGTAGGTATATTTATATTAGCGTTCAAATTAACACAAAGACTATTATGAATGCACCAAATGAACTTACTATACCTCAACATGGCCAGCATGGAAAAGATCAAAAGCACCATCAATGTAAATTATACGTGCATCAGGTCCTGGTCCCTGTCACCATAATCATGTACTTTTGATCAACCCCAGATAAAAGAAAGTGAGAAGGAGAAAAGTGAATCAATCAGAGAATATAATCTTAAGATTTAATCTAACGTGCATGGATTAACATAGGCAATAAAACGAAATGTGAAGCAACTTTCTGCCGCTCAATAGGTAAAGTATAAATAAACACAAAAAAATATACAGTGATTGGAAAATGGTCATAGACAGGGTGAACTAGTTATGTTTCAGAAGGTAAGAACCAAGACTCAACCAGACACTGTTCCCTTAACGATGATGAAAGCTGATACCCGTTCTCTTTAGTAATTAAAATAAAAAGTCTGCCCATAACCACTTGCATAGCTATTAGAAATGAAGAGTCATGTGGCAAACTTGTTCAACCTACTCGATCCTTCAGAAATATATAGAGATATAAGAACTCCAAATAAGTTATGTGACAGAGTAAGATAAACTGGTAGAAAATGCAATAGCTAAACTAGAGAAGGAGACACTTTTTAAAACTTGCGTACCTTGCCATTGGAGAACTGAACGATCCTGCGGGAAGTAGGAAGAAAGTGTGAGACTCGAGTACCAGCTGAAGAACCTCCATCATCAAACTTTGGGCTATTATGGCCATGGCTAAACTGCCTTTGCAGCGAAGAATGACTCTGACTGTTCGATCTTTCTCGTACACAGAGAAGCATGCGACCTGAAAAATTATATAAGCTTCGATCAGAAGATCTAAGCTATCATGAACATTTAATCACATAAGCATGATGCAGCTCGTATCTCTCCTCAACATGAAAAAGAAAAAAAAAACTTTTTCTCTAAGCATCCTCAGTTAATGAACAAATACAGTTGAAACGAGATGAAATGACGTAAGTTATACCAACGATATCAGTGCTGGAAACTCCTTCAGTACGCTTAATCTGCTTGTACCTCCCAGCCTTCTTAGCCGCTGCATAAGCATCAGTTCCATCAGGAAGAACACAAGGATCATCCCCATGGATGATGTAATCAATCTGATACTCATCAAACAACCTCTTCATGAATTCTTCCGTGATGGCATAAGGAGCATCCGGTATGACTTCATCTACCCATTTCACCGCCTTCACCATTACCATCCTGAGATAAACCAAAATAAAAAGATAAACATACTACCAAACTAAATACACAAGGTAGAGCCGGTCTTAGACATAACATGATGAAACATTCACCTCGACCCCCTATGTGTACATCATTCTTCCCTAAATTATTTAAAAATGTATATATACATATTGATCATTTAGTTCTAATCCGTAACTGTTTTAAACCCCATAAATTTCAGAACCGTTTCTACAGAGCAAAGCTAGTTTTGACATAAAGAAATGAAACATTCACCTTGCCTCACGCTCGCTAGGCAGTAATTAAACACTTTATAGAGTAGAGGGACGCAATGTTTAATAAATGTTACACAGTTATTATATGAGATTATTAACTAAACAACCGTTTAGACCTATTTAAATGAACATCTAGACCAAAATTTTTAAAATATCATCCAAGAAAAAATCACTTCGTTTAGGTCTGATTCTCCAGTCTAAACGCCAAGCACACCAATAACCTACCGGTGTGGAGGCATTTCCTCCTACGGTAGTAAGGGTTAGGGTCGATGAGCTGCAGTGCTGTGAGTCTGGGTCGACGGACGGGTTCTAAACTAAACCGATTTTTAGAACACTAAAAATATTAAAAATTGTTCTAGAGTAATCATTTTCGCTTAGTCCCGATTTGACACGTAGATGATTTTTAAAACATTAATATATACACATTATTCACAATTTGATCATTTAACCCTAATCTATAACTCTTCCAAGCCTTTCTACAATTACCAACGAATCAAGATCCAAAGAGAGAGAGAGAGACCTTTCATGAAGAGGAGTAACAGGAGGTCCTTTATTAGCTATGATCTCCTCATCACTAACAACACCAACCACCAATTGATCACCGAGTGCACGCGCTTGCCTCAGCGCGTTGCAGTGGCCGTAGTGCATCATGTCGAAGCAACCATCCATGTACACGCGAACGGGCCTCTGTTTCCTGAACGAGACCAGACGCGTGCCTAACCCTAGGCCTAAGGGAAGCTCGCCTTTGAGGAAGAGGTGGAGGAACGAAGCTCCCACGGCGAAGGTGGCTCCTCCGATTATACAGCTTCCGACGATCTTCTCCTTCTCCCAAACCATTTTTGTTTTTTGTTTTAGAGGAAATGTTGAATCGTTTGTTTTGTTCGCCTAAGAGATCTCTAGAGGAGATAGTTTGTTTTGTTTCTTGTAATTTGGAAACTTGAGACTCGGAATCGGAATCCTATTTATGCTTTTCGAATTTTTGTTTTTGTTTTTTTTTCTCTGGAGATTGATAGGTGAACCGAAATGATATTTGATGGTTTTGGTTGGTCGGGTGATTTAAATTACCGGTTTGGTTGTGAGTTATTCGGTTTGGTTTACAATAGTCTATTTTTGGCTCGTAAATTAAATTTGAGATTTAGAAAAATGAATAGTAAATATTTCTTTTGACCAAAATCTGATAATTGTAAGTTGTAATGAATATATACAACAGGTTCTATTTAAATTAGTATTAAAAGGAAAAAATAAAAAAAATTAAAAATGAGAATTGTTTTTTCATTGAATATTTTATCAAAAATGCTGAGGGACTTTGATACCTTGTTCTCTATTTTTTTCCATTTTTAATTAGACATCAAATATCTTATAATATTTAATATATTAGTGTTTAGAAATATACTTCAAGAAACTCATCACTAATTGTTCTTTTCCTTACTATAAAATTGTTTTTCTTATGAAATTAGATAACTCAAAAGATTTCTAACTAAATAACTATTGTTTTCAAAATACGTTTCAAATACAGAAACTGTTAATTAAATGGAAAAATCAAAGCTGAGATTACTTTGTTTTTGTTTTAATTAAGTAGAAAATGAAAAAAAATACATAGAAATGAATTAAAAAGTAACTTTTGGCCTCAACTTCTAACATAGCTGAAGGATAAAACCGAAAAAGCAAACCGGGTTAAAGAGGAAAAAGAACGTCTTTAGAATTATTCCCCCTTCAAGAATCACGTGTAAAGATTGAAGCAAGCATTTGTTCCGTGATACTTAATGTGACAACTCTTGCTTCACTCATCCTTCAAACTTGACGTTACATGCAAACTACTACTCATGATCCAACAACTACCACATGCATAACTAACTACCATGGCTTCTCTCATCTTGTAAACGCCAATGAAACTTTAACATTGTACTGTTATCTAGAAACCAGGTACTACAACAAAAGCATTACTCTACTCTGACAAAGAGCTTTATATCAGACATCCACCACGGTCTTGTAAGAAAGCAACAACATAATAAACCCAAAACTACAAAGGATTGTAAATTTGTTATCAACCCCCAACAACATGAACTCTCTCCTATCTCTTTGTTCAAGGATAGTTTAGTTATAAGACAGAGATTAACCATATTTTATCACAAGGATGTCCGCTTGGCAGCATCCAAGGTATTGCATAGAAGCATGGCAATAGTCATGGGTCCGACACCTCCAGGTACAGGAGTGATCGCTGAGGCTACACCTAACGCTTCCTCGTAACATACATCCCCAACAAGACGATAACCTTGCTCACAGCTACTATCCTGCCATAATCATACCCAGCAACAAACATTTGGTCTCTTTATTTAGGCTATAACCTAAGGTTTTCTGTAGCAGAATTAGTTTTTTTGTTTACCTCAACAGGACATGTACCGACATCGATGACAACTGCTCCAGGCTTCAGCCAGCTTCCACGAACGAGATTAGGTACACCCGCGGCTGCAACCACTATATCAGCTTCCCTGGTGATGTGCTCTGGATCCTTTGAAAAGGCATGAACCGTGCTTACTGTAGCGTCATACCTCTACCCAATAATGTCAGCAAAGACATATAAATGCATAGTTAATAGTCAAAACCGAAAGGTTCAAGTCTCATAACCACAAAAAGGATAATACCTGCAATAGTAAAGACATTGGGAGACCAACGATGTTGCTTCTTCCAATCACCACAGCGTTTTTTCCTGCTAGTTCAACACCTGCTCTGATCAACAACTCCACACATCCCTTAGGGGTGCAAGATACGAATAGTGGCTCCCTCCCTCTCATTGCAAGATTCCCCATATTTAATGGGTGGAACCCATCAACATCTTTCTCCAACCTCACCATATTCAATATCTTTGCTTCATCAAGATGCTGCATACGATTACATTTCATTACATAATAGTTAAAAATAACAGTTAAAAAGATTTTCAATAGCATAACATATGAATTATATGCTCAATGTTCCAGAGGGTCCATGTTCTATGATGCTACCAACCAACCTTGACCTCCTAACATAGAACTAATCTTTGACATCAACAACACTAACATCTACCATCACTATGTCATGACTCATATTACACACACACACACACAGAAAAAAGTGAGATATACCTGGGGCAAAGGAAGTTGGACAAGAACTCCGTGAATAGATGCGTCTTCATTGAATTTTTTCAACACACTGATGATTTCTCCTTCAGTACAATCCTCAGGCAACTCAGCCAAAACAGATTTAATACCAGTTTCTTCACAAGCTTTAATCTTGTTCCGCACATAAGTTTGCGAGTCTCTTTGTTCACCAACCAAAACAACAGCAAGACCAGGGACTCTTCCAACATCACTTTTCATCTTCCACACTTCACTAACAATCTTTGCCCTGATATCCTCTGCGATAGCTTTTCCATCAATCACCACAGTCTTCTGTTCACCCTCTTCGTGAATGCAGAAACACACAAAACACACACATAGTAAATATATGAAGAGAAGATAAACAGTACACTAGAGGAGGGAGAGGGAGAGAGTTACCGAAGGCAACAGGAGATGGAGGATGAGAGTAAGGAACCCAATTTTCAGGCAAGTCAAGAGAGACGAGAGGAGGAGACACTAAAATGGAGCTTAAGCAATGCACTTCCCTTGTTGTCAAACGAATAGTCTTTTTATGCGCCAAGGCCAAAGCTTTCCTCGCGATTAATAACATGCTCGAAAATGAAAAGTTGCAGTAATCACTGAATCACACTAAAAAATAGAACACCATTGAAAGAAGCCTAATCAGAAGAAACATACCAAATAATAAGAGAATCTTACACAGATAAATCTTAAAACAATGCATATGAAAATAAAGGTTTAATCTTTCATGATTTGTTCGTCTTAACTCATCTCCTTCATTACATTCACACAAACAGACGAGAGAATCTCAGAAAGATAAAGCTTAAACAATGCATATGAACATAAAAGGTTTAATCTTTCATGTAATGAACACCCTAACTCATCTCCTTCGTTACATCCACCCACACAAACAGATAATGCAAAGCAGATTAAACCAAAAAAAAAAAGTGACAGTGTTTAAGAGAACTGTCATCATATGCTTTTCACAATCAATTATCTTTACTAAGTACGGAGGAGAAAGGGGATGAAGAGAGATTACCAAAGTGCATAAGCGTCAATGGCGTTGCGACGGTTGACGAATAAGGCGTGCTCGGAGTTTTTGGATTTTATCGGCGAGACATGTAGAAAAACAAAAGAAAATTAAAACCAATAATAACTCACCACACGTGTGAAAAGTACACGTGTCGTGATCTGGAGATAGAATCTGCAAGCTAGTTGAATAATCAAACGGCAGAGGCAGTTCCACACGTGCCAAAAAAGAAAAAGAGTTTGGGTGTTGTGTCTCTCTCTCTCCCTTCTTCCTTCCAAGAGAGATGCGCGATCGGGCATAGATAGTGAAGCACTTTGAGTGTGGATAGAGGAGATTAAAACGTCGACGTTTCAGGGAATCCAATGCGGTTCGTAATTTGAAAGACATTTGATTGATTGAATCTAAATCGGGAAAACATGAAAGGCGGAGGAGGAGGAGGAGGAGGAGGCGGAGGAGGAGGAAAGAGACGGTGGAAAGTTCTGGTGATAGGAGTAATGGTTCTTGTGATCTTATCAATGCTGGTTCCTCTTGCTTTCTTGCTCGGCCTACACAACACCTTTCACTCTCCTGGTGATCTATCTCTTTATCTCTCTTTATCTCTATTTCAGATCTGTTCTCATCTCTTTACGTTTATTATCTCCAGGACTCGTCACTGTCAAACCATCTTCTCCTGTAAGTAACCATTTACGTTTTCTTTAATGGTTTAAAAGGTTTTGATCTTTTTTAACTTTTATCTTTGTTTTGGAATTAGTATGAGAGCTTTAGCAGAATCAATGCTACTAAACATTCACAGGTTTATTTTTATCTCTCTCTCTCGTGTTTTTTGATTGGTTTCTATTCGTTTAGCTGCTTTCTTGATCTTTGTTTTCTGGTTTTTTTTGCAGAGAGATTTATCCGATAGAGTTGATCAGGTTCTTCAAAAACTCAATCCAGTGCTTCCAAAGGTTGGTTCCTTTTTAAATATTTGGAAACTTTTCTTATCTTACACAACTTTTGTTATATATATGTGTGATTTTTACTATGACTCTGAAGAATGTATTCAATCATAGTTTTGGCATTGATGTTGTTGATTCCAGTGATGTAGTTTGATCTTACTAAAATAGCATCTGAGTCCGGTTTGCCAGTGTTCCCTTCAAGATTTGAATGCTAACATTAGAAAGAAAGCAAACAATCTTGACTTTGAAAAAAAACTATGCAAGATGCCCTATAGCTAGCCAGCGAAATAAGAAAGATTTAGAGGATGAGTGTATTTATTTAACTATCTCATGTGACTGACTCTACATTCATGAATTATGTTGCTTCATGTATCTATCTCACCTTGTGGGAGATGGTTACAAATGTTCGTAACGATTTTTACACTAAACGTTTTTTCTTTCCCCTTGTTTCACATGCTAGAAAACAGACATAAACGCGGGTTCCAAAGATATGAATAGGACAATCATCCGAGATTCTAAGAAGCAAGGTTAACTTTACAAGTTCTACTTTCTAAAAATTTCTCCCTCAGTAATTTATTTTGATCCTGTTCCGGAACTTTACGTCTCTTCCCTCAATTAATTTGCAGGATTACCGGTGTCCCCAGCTGTTGTTGCCAACCCAAGCCCTGCAAATGTACGGACTGATTAAGTGGTTTCTCTAGTATACATTTTTGTTACTCTCACCAATTCGTCTTGAGTTTTATTCTGTGAACAGAAAACAAAAACCGAAGTCGCGTTCAAAGGTGTTCAGCCGGCGATAGTTAGTGTTGATGAAAGTCAGAGAACTTGTCAAGTAAAATACGGGAGCTACTGCCTCTGGAGGGAGGAAAATAAGGAACCGATGAAAGATGCTAAGGTGAAGCACATGAAGGACCTGCTATTCGTGGCTAGGGCATACTATCCAAGTATTGCTAAAATGCCTTCTCAAAACAAGTTGACTCGGGATATGAAACAGAATATCCAAGAGTTTGAGCGTATTCTTAGTGAAAGTTCATCTGATGGTGACCTTCCACCACAGTAAGTACTTTTACCAGTTTGGGTTTAAGCATGTTCGTACTGAAAGTTAGTTCTAGGAGAGATGCAATGGATGTGGTTTATGTCTTTCAGGAGAAGCTTGTATGTGTAGATCCTCTGCTAATTTTCTTTAAATCCTACTTACTGTGTCTCTTTCCACTCGTGGACCAGGGTTGATAAAAAGTTTCAGAAGATGGAAGCTGTAATTTCAAAGGCAAAGTCTTTTCCAGTCGACTGTAACAATGTTGACAAGAAACTGAGACAGATCCTGGATTTGACTGAGGATGAAGCAAGTTTCCACATGAAACAGAGTATGTTTCTTTACCAGCTTGCAGTGCAGACAATGCCTAAGAGTCTCCATTGCTTGTCAATGAGGCTTACTGTGGAACATTTCAAGTCAGGTTCTGTTGATAATGAGGATAGTGAGACATTTTCAGATCCCTCATTGCTTCACTTTGTTATCATTTCCGACAGTATGCTTGCATCTTCCGTTGTGATCAACTCAACGGTTGTACACGCAAGGGTATGTAGTAAATCCAGTTTCCATTTCTTTCTGGTTCATGTAGTCATTGAACCACTTATATCTAAAATCTTGGTTGATTGTTGATGTTTCAGGAAAGTAAAAACTTGGTTTTCCATGTACTGACAGATGAGCAGAATTACTTTGCGATGAAACAATGGTTTATCAGGAATCCCTGCAAACAAGCAGCTATTCAAGTATTAAACATTGAAAAACTCGAGCTGGACAATTCTGATATGAAGAAACTGTCTTTGCCTGTGGAGTTCCGTGTCTCCTTCACCAGTGGTGAAAACAGTTTGGCGTCACAAGGGAATTCAACACACTACTTATCTCTATTCTCTCGAACTCACTATATTCTTCCGAAAATATTCAGCAAGTTGGAAAAGGTTGTGATTCTGGATCATGACGTTGTAGTCCAGCGAGACTTGTCTCCCCTTTGGGAGATTGATATGGAAGGAAAAGTGAATGGCGCAGTGAAGTCGTGCTCTGTGAGATTAGGTCAGATAAAGAGTCTCAAGAAAGGAAGTTTTGATGCGAATGCTTGTCTCTGGATGTCTGGATTGAATGTCATCGATCTTGCTAGATGGAGGCAGCTTGGAGTTTCAGAAACATACCAGAAATTTTACAAACAGGTCAGTTTTTTGAAAACCCTGAAAGAGAAACTGTGTGATTCTTTATGCTTATGTTTTGTTTTGGTGTGTGGCAGATGAGTGGTGGAGGTGAGCCAAGAGAAGCTATTGCATTGCAAGCAAGCTTGCTTACGTTTCAAGACAACGTATATGCTCTGGACGACAAATGGGCTCTTTCAGGGCTTGGTTATGACTACTATATCAATACCGAAAGGATAAAAAACGCAGCGACCTTGCACTATAATGGGAACATGAAGCCGTGGCTAGAGATGGGAATCCCACAGTACAAAAGCTATTGGAGAAAACATCTGAATAGGGAAGATGGATTCTTGAGTGACTGTAATGTGAATCCTTGATGAGAGGGTAAGTAGAAGAAACTACAAGGGACAATGATGTAGAAGCAGGTTGGTCACACACGCAAAGAAAAAGATTTAGAGTGGCATCTCGTTGTTTTGTGGGGGTAAATAAACCCGAATGCATTGCAGAAGAAATGCTGAAGGGGGGAAGAAGCTATAGCAGAATGATTAGCAATTTGATTTTTTTAAGAGACAGTGGTGAAGATGATCGCAAAATCAGCTTTGGTATTATGATTTTGAAAAGAAACTTGGATGTTGTATATGATTTTTGGTAAAGAGAGGTGTGCCATCATTCTTTTACTCACGTGATTTTCCATTTGTCATTGTGTAAGTTTTTTATTACTAAAAATATAGAAGGCAATAAAAATGTTTTCTACTATTTCCTCCATGCCACAAAAAATTTACATACTTTAAGAATAAGTTTACAGTGTCAAAAATAATCTTCTTAATACTATAGTTACAAATAATCTTCATCTGAAGATAAATATTTTAATCAATATGAATAGAATTGATAAACAAGCTAAAAAGTAACACAACTTTCATCGTGTCGTAGTGGAATGGAAGAAGTATTACATAGATTTGCTAAAAATTTCATTCACTTATATCCCCATTTGATGATGACGGACGAGGTAGCAGGATCCAAAATGACCATATAATATAAAACACACACTAAGGTACAGCTACTAAGGTGAGGAATCAGATTTGGTAGGAGAGACAAGTTAGGTTGTACTTATACACTACTCGAACATGCATATTGTTCCAAGTGCAGAGTGTAGTTTAATTGAAAGTGGGACGCAAACAACGGTCGTAATCAACTTTTTATGTACATACGATAGATAACGATTAACGAAAGGAATACAAAAATGTAAGAGAGATGTCAACGTAAGTGGAACATTTTTGTTATAGCAATGGACGTGGGAAAAACATTATACTGAACTTTTAAAATAAAATAATTGGTGGAATTTTGTTGGGATGGCTTTGTCTTCTCTCTTCCCCACCGCTAATCGCTTCTCAGCCACATAATTTTATTCTTAAGCTAACCCCTTCATCATATATCATATTAAAACTTAAAACCAAGGATTGGTTCAAAACTCGATTTCCTAACTCGGTTTATGCCATGTCCTTGTTTGAAACTTTGAAATTGTTTATTAAAACAATTTCATATTAAAACTTTATTCTTAAGCTAACCCCTTCATCATATATCATATTAAAACTTAAAACCAAGGATTGGTTCAAAACTCGATTTCCTAACTCGGTTTATGCCATGTCCTTGTTTGAAACTTTGAAATTGTTTATTTATAGTATATTTGAACTTTGCTTTCCACCCGTTCTTATCCTCCCACTAGATTATGTTTTTCACTTGGCTCAAAATGTCCATGGTAACTATTCAAAGCCATGATGTTTATAAATATATATTATCTGTTAGTTGAATCATAATTGGTCTTATCGAGCCAATAACCAGGTTTGGGGATTTGGAACATGCTACAAGTTGATCCATAAGAGAAGATTATCATATATTACTTTGGCCTATGGGTTCACATTTTGGAGAATAATACGTTAATCCTGCAGAAATACTTAATAATGGAAAAAGATGAAGTGTATTTCATATAGACACTCGTCTTTTCAGAAAAGTTGCACTGGAAATGACGATGGATTATGGCCCGTAGGTTTGCTGGTATATATTCCTTTTCCATTTCTTTTGAGACAATAATATTCTCTATTAATGATCATAACAAAAATGGGAAAATTGTCATTTAAATCCCGAACTTTTAAATTTGGTTGAAAAAAGCATGAACTTTCTCTTGGACCATTTAAAGCACCAACTTAGTTTGAATAGCCATTTTAAACCTCAATTTTAGTTTGACTAAACCAAATCAAACACGACGTTAACTCGGGTAACGGATCGATTAGAAGGAGTTAATCACCGTCTCTAATTTCCGTTGAGTCGTCTAAACGACGTCGTTTTAAAATTTTAAAAATATGCATCCAGAGGGAATCGAACCCGAGACCTAAAGGCAAACTCACTCCAAGACAAAACCACTAGACCACTTGCACTTTTCGTAACTTAAATGAATACAAATAGATTTATTATGAACCATCCAAATCATTTTCTCCTACCCTAAATCCCTAAATATTAAAAATTATAAATAACTTAATAATTAAAAAATCGTAAATATTAGTAAAAATATTAAAACTTATAATAATTATTAAATTATTTATAAGAAGTATTAAAAATATTAAATAACAATTTTTTAATCATTAAGTATTATTGAATATTCAAATTTTCATTCTTATACTTAATAATTAATTATTTAATAATAATCAATAATAAAGAAGTATTAAAATAATTTTTTTAATCATTAAGTATTATTAAATAATTAATTATTAAGTATAAGAATGAAAATTTGAATATTCAATAATACTTAATGATTAAAAAATTGTTATTTAATATTTTTAATACTTCTTATAAATAACTTAATAATTATTATAAGTTTTAGTATTTTTACTAATATTTACGATTTTTTAATTATTAAGTTGTTTATAATTTTTAATATTTAGGGATTTAGGGTGTGAAAATGATTTGGATGGTTCATAATAAATGTATTAGTATTCATTTAAGTTACAAAAAGCGCAAGTGGCCTAGTGGTTTTGTCTTAGAGTGAGTTTGCTTTGGGTCTTGGGTTCGATTCCCTCGGTTTCATATTTTTCAAAAATTTTAAAACGACGTCGTTTAGATGACTTAACGGAAATTAGAGACGGTGATTAACTCCGTCTAATCGATCCGTTACCCGAGTTAACGTCGTGTTCGATTTGGTTTAGTCAAACTAAATTGAGGTTTAAAATGGCTATTCAAACTAAGTTGGTGCTTTAAATGGTCCAAGAGAAAGTTCATGCTTTTTTTTCAACCAAATTTGAAAGTTCGAGATTTAAATGACAATTTTCCCTAACAAAAATGTACACACAAATAAAGTGGGAAGATTAGAAAAATATTTGATGCGTAAATATTATTTTTCTAAAAATGATAAAACGAATATAGAATAGAAAATAAGATACATAAAAGAAAATCTTTAATAAACGATGATCAAAAATATTTTAAACGTATTTTTAATTTTGCACTGAACAAATTAGTGAATTACATTCGTTTGTCATCTTTAAAAACGTCATGCAATTACCAGCAATATAAAATAATCGTGTTATTTTGTAAATTTCTCTAAAATCTCGACCGATTGAATTAGAAACTATAGTTAGTGTTGATTGTTTTTTCTTGTCATATATAAAGTAGAGCGTTAGCGTTAGATTAAATATCAATAAACATTCAGTACAAAGTTCCTAAGTGATATTTTGTTGGAGTTCACGTGAAAATAAAGGCCGTGTAACTAATTTTATTTTATTAGTTTATTGGAGTTTACGATATCTCTCTAGTGGACAACAAGAAGATGATACCATTCTTTTCGTTTAAGCATCACATTCATTTCAATTAACAATAGTATATAAACACGCAACAACCTCTTCTCATTTGTCCAACAAACAAAGATCAACTCATCTACTCCAACAACAATCATCAAAAACTCACCAAACGAAAACAAGACAGAAACAAAGAAAAGAGATGACAAAAGTTTACCCAAAGCTCCCAAACACTTGCCAAGACAGCTTGTGCGATGGTAAAGCAGCCGCGGTTTTGACGGTGTGGAAGAAGTCCCTTCTCTTTAACTGTGATGGATTCACAGTTTACAACTCTAATGGAGATCTTGTCTTTAGAGTTGACAACTACATGAACTCTTCTAAAGACAACATTGTCCTTATGGACGCTTCCGGCTTACCCCTCCTCTCCATCCGCCGCAAGGTACGTGTTCTCTCTTTGTTTCTATATTCTTTTTGATAACCTAAGTCTTGAACCATATATTCTTGTTATTTAAATCATCCAAAATGGTCAACTACTATTATAACACGATAGATCCACATAATGAATCTCTACCATGAAATGTTTGATTTTCAAAAGATATATAACAAAATTATTATGAAACTAATCTTGAATTTTCTTTTCTTAATTATTTATTTAGAAACCGAGCCTGGGAGATTGCTGGATGGTATACGATGGAGAAACACAAAGAGATCCAATATTTACAGCGAGAAAAAACGTTAGTATAATGACAAACAAGAGGAGCTTGGCGTGGGTCAGTTCCAAGAAAACGGTCTTATATGAGATAGAAGGATCATTCGGCCAGAGAAGCTGCAAAATACTGGACGAGAGGAGGAACAAGAAGAAGACAGCTGAGATCAAGAAGAAAGACGCAATGGTCGGAGGAGTTGCCTTTGGAAAAGATGTATTTAAACTTATAGTTGAATCGGAGATGGAGCCTCGTGTGGCCATGGCATTTACCATCATTCTCGACCAAATGTTTAGATCTTATTGAATTTTCTTTCTTTTTTTTAAAGCTTCGTAAGTATGATATTAGTTCTTTTCTGTTGTTACGTAATTTATGCATGTGTTCATCTTATATGTTACACAAAAACAGAGCCAAGTTTTGGTGTGAGTTTTTTCTCTTCGTCTTGATAGTACATAAATTCAGTCAATTATAGATGTAATTTTTGTGGGACAGTTCAGCAAAAGGAGGCATTGTTAAGGCTGACGATAAGCCTGACATATTCAATATTTTTATCGGTTATGAAAGTTTGACAAGAAGACAAAACAAAAACAAGAAGTTTCATGTTTTACTTATAGCGCAAACTTATAAAACAATTCCAAATTATCAATGCTTTGTATAGTGGATCGGGACATGACTAATGCACGAGTTGCTGAGTACCTTTGTACATACACACGGTGATACGGATCCATATTGGTCAGGAGAAAAATCGAAAGTTTAAGATTTTAGTATCAAATCATGATTTAAATATAAATATGAAATCAAAAATAAACACACACAAAAACTGTTGCTAAAATCCATCATTGATGAAAATGACTGTTGAACACATGAAGAATATATTTAAAAGAATGAATTATAAAAAAAAAGTAAATAATATAAGTTCAGATCAAGAAGTATCAGGCATTTTCTCCTCAAAACCGTAGGCTGTCAGATCTAATAGGTTTTATTTGACTACTAAAAATTAAAATGCATATAATAAATCTTATACATTATTTACAACACGGTAAATGAAAAATGATTTTTATTTTTTTATTGGTAAAATATTATAAATAACATTAATGATTTAAATATAATTTTAGTATTAACTAATATTTTTCTTATAACATGACGGTTTAGATCAACTCTAATCAAACTATATATTAATAAAATTTTCAAATGGTTTCATATTGATATTGTTATCATGAGTACTCTCAAACATGCATATAAAATCTATACTATTATTTGCGGAGTGATTTTTCGCAACGGAGCTCTCACATTAAAAATTGGAGTGGTTAATATCGTTTATACCCTTAAAGAATAAAAGATATAAACCAGTCAAAAATACAAAAGAATTTAATATTTATTTGATTAGATAAATGATTTAAATTAATAATAATGATAAGAATTATCCATAATCTAAATATATGTTTTAAAATAAAATAAAAAGATAATTCCTATAGATATATATATTGTGTTGTTATCCGGAAAATATATTTTAATAAAAAAATTCAAAAACAGAAAACACATAAATAAATATTCATAAAGTACAAATTTTAATTGTATATAATTGAAAAGAGAAAATTGAAAAAAATATAATATGTAATTATTTTCAAATTAAAAGAATATAATAATAGAACATGAAGATATATATATTTGTGAAGTTATTTTTCGCCTCTGAACTCACACGTTAAATTAAATTTAGTTTTATATTTTATATAATAAAACCTTAAACATGAATTAATCATAATAATATAAAAGATCATTCAAAAAGAAAGAAAATACGTGTTTGAAAAAAATAAATTTAAATATATTGTATTATTATCCAAACTAATATTATTCTTTCTGTAAGATCAATTTTCGATTGTATTTATCGATTTAAGTTTTCAAATTGAAATATAGATTTCTATATTATTATCAATTAATAAGAAATTAAATAGATTTAGATTTTTCAAAGATTTAAAGGAAAAAATAGATTCTTTTTAATTTGTAAATAACTTTATCATGTAAAAAAGTTTAATGTTTTTGGTCAAAAATTTTGGATGCAAATAATCATTTATTTTGATGATTTTTTAAATAGATTAAAGATAATTAAGCCCGTATGTGCGGGCAAAACACCTAGTTTGATACTCTACGTATAATGCATATGTTTAATTGGTATACAATATTATATTATATTATATACTGAAAATAAGTTATATTATACTTAAATGTTATTTATCTGACATATGATATATAGGTGTATACATTTTTGAATATATAAAATATGGTTATGAATCATAATGTCTTAATTCTTATGAACCATTTCTCACATGTAAATTTATAATATTTGTTTTTTTTTATGAAATTTGAAATTTATAATATTTGTTACCAATATAAAACGGTTTAATAACACATACGACTATCTAATTTTTCTTACCAAGCTTAATAAGAGTGTTTATCTAATAAAACAGTTAAGTGGAGAAGATCCAAGAAAAAATCCAAGAAGCTAGGTGCTTTATTTGTAGAATCCAAAGTTAAAATGGAGAATATTAGACGCATCCCAACTAGTATACATGATTGAGATAAGAGTCTTTATCTAATTCTACATTTTGATTTGACATGAACATATTCATGTCTACTTTTGTGGAGCATTTCATCTCTTCTACAAGCCTACCTCTGCGATTGCTGGCTGTATGTTTCTTTGTGTTTCTTACATATGCTTGTTTTAGATCGTCCTTTCCTCTGCTTGTTTAGATTGTCCCGGTTTCTCCTTATTGAAAGCAAGAATTTGCTCAAACGCTTGTTATATAGGCTTTCCAATAACTTTTTCCGTTCGAGTAGGAAAACATTGAGGCTTCTTACATGTCCTTCTTCAAGAGACAAGTCAAAGAAGAATCTAAGGATAAGAGCATGGTGAGGCTTGGCGGCCATGCCAAGAAGCTTTGAGAATATAATTCTTTCATAGTAACGTTTCTTTACCCATTTTAGTATAGTAGTAATGACTGCATATCAAGTTTACAACCGAGTATATATATATATAGAGAGAGAAAGTGCTTTAGAAAAAAAAAAGATAAAAGGGCTAATATTAGTTTTGATCAAAGGCTATTGTCATATTACCTCAGTGCTCGTGCTCAGTGGAGTCATCAGTTTTACTCTTGAGCTTTCCTCACTTGGGACCAAGGCCAGTGTTTCTGGCTTGGTTGAAGAGATGGACAAGCGTGGTGTTAAACTTCATTGATTTCTTCTGCTCTTTGGTTGCCAACTTCTTTGACTTCTCTGCTTCCTTGGCTTTTTTAGCCTTCTCTGCTTCCTCCAACCTCTCTTTTTCAACCCTCAAGAGCTCTTCTCTAACCCTCTGAAGAGCTTCTTCAGCCATCATTAGCTCTTCTTCAGACATGAAGAGGAGTGGGAAGGAGCAGTCTATGTAATCATCAACATAGGTAAAGAGCTTGGCCTCACTCTCCATAATGAACTTGGCAAGCAAGAGCTCCAATGTATTAATTCTTATGAACCATTTCTCACAAATAAATTTATAATATTTGTTTTTTTGATGAAATTTGAAATTTATAATATTTGTTACCAATATAAAACGGTTTAATAACACATACGACTATCCTATTTTTCTTACCAAGCTTAATAAGAGTGTTTATCTAATAAAACATGTACGTGGAGAAGATCCAAGAAAAAATCCAAGAAGCTAGGTGCTTTATTTGTACATTTCAAAGTTAAAGTGGAGAATATTAGACGCATCACAACTAGTATACATGATTGAGATAAGAGTGTTTATCCAATTCTACGTTTTGATTTGATATGTTCATGTCTACTTTTGTGGAGCGTTTCATCTCTTCTAGATTTAAGATGATTGAGAATTACAAGCCTACCTCTGCGAGAAGAAGCTTGCATACAAATGCGAGAAGAAGTTTACCGGAGTTGGCCATCTCATCGCCAACCAATCCAGAAACACTAGCGGTTCAAGGTAAAACTGAGGAAATGAAACTTGATATGCTCATTACTTGGGTAAAGAAACTTGATATGCTCATTACTTGGGTAAAGAAACGTTAAACCATTTTATCATATATTTTGTCATTTACTCGGATTGTAAAACTTGATATGCTCATTACTTTGAAACTTTGATCTTTATTTTTTGAAACTTTGAGGGCATGTAATCAAATGAAGCAAAGGAGTACAATTACAGTAAGACCAATATCGAACTCTGGCTAGCCTCAAGAGAAGTAGCGAAATCAACCTAATAGCCCAGTAAATCCCTACAGGACTCAGAAGAGAGGCTTAGAGAAGCGTAACCGAAACCATATATTATATAGCAAACCTCTGAAAGATGACCACCCATGGCCCAAGAAAAAGTCCAACAAAGACGACGCTTAGACTTCTTCGCCTTATGCTATTCTTACTATGATTTTTCTTCTTGTGGCATTTATCATATAGGAGTTCTTAATTAGAGTCCACCACTCTTAAATCAAGTTTTTACTTATATATAGTGTAGACTTTTAACATAAGTTTCAATGGAAAGTATTCTAATATACCCCAGTTAGAAAATAACTATTCTCACTACCCCACTATTTTTCTCGCTGCCCCCTCTCTTTTTTTTTGTTCGTAGTAGTTTCTAGTAATTCAAGGTAGTTTGTTTTTTGTTCATAGTAGTTTCTAGTAATTCAAGGTAGTTTCTAGTAATTCAAAATAATTCAAAGTAATTCAAAGTAGTTTCTAGTAATTCATATTACAAATAATACTAATTCATTAAGTGTTATTGATTTTTTAATCACGTTTTGATTTTGAGAAAGAAAAAAAAAATCAAATTTATGATGGGTTAAAATAGAATGAAGATGGGAGTGAGTGGGGCAATATAGAATAAAGTCCAGTTTCAATGGCATAGCCATTTAGTAATTACCGAACTTTACCTTAGCATTATCTTTTAACTTGCCCAGATGTAAGACCTTTTGTTTTCATAACTTGCCCATCTTTTGTAATCAAATTTACGATGCAGACATCATCATTTTCTCTTAGTTGTTGCATTGTTTTAATTACATAATAATTATGTAGAACCAGGAATTAAACCAAAAAGAACTCAAAAAATATATATTCTAACTACCAAACCAAGAAACAGTCGCTTGTATATTTGATCTGTTTTCTCAATGGTCGGAGGAGTTACCTTTGGAAAAGATGTATTTAAACTTATAGTTGAATCAGAGATGGAGCCTCGTGTGGCCATGGAATTTACCATCATTCTTGACCAAATGTTTAGATCTTATTGAATTTTCTTTTCTTTTTTTCTAAAGCTTCATAAGTATGATAGTAGTTCTTTTCTGTTGTTATGTAATTTATGCATGTGTTCATCTTATATGTTACACAAAAACAGAGACAAGTTTTGGTGTGAGTTTTTTCTCTTCGTCTTGATAGTACATAAATTCAGTCAATTATAGATGTAATTTTTGTGGGATAGTTCAGCAAAAGGAGGCATTGTTAAGGCTGATGATAAGCCTGGCATATTCAATACTTTTATCGGTTATGAAAGTTTGACAAGAAGACAAAACAAAAACAAGAAGTTTCATGTTTTACTTATAGCGCAAACTTATAAAACAATTCCAAATTATCAATGCTTTGTGTAGTGGATCGGGACATAACCTATGCACGAGTTGCTGAGTACCTTTGTACATACACACAGTGATACGGATCCATATTGGTCAGGAGAAAAATCGAAAGTTTAAGATTTTAGTATCAAATCATGATTTAAATATAAATATGAAATCAAAAATAAACACACACAAAAATTGTTGCTAAAATCCATCATTGTTGAAAATGACTGTTGAACACATGAAGAATATATTTAAAAGAATGAATTATAAAAGAAAGTAAATAATATAAGTTCAGATCAAGAAGTATCAGGCATTTTCTCCTCAAAACCGTAGGCTGTCAGATCTAATAGGTTTTATTTGACTACTAAAATGCATATAATAAATCTTAATACATTATTTACAACACGGTAAATGAAAAATGATTTGTTTGTTTTTATTGGTAAAATATTATAAATAACATTAATTATTTAAATATAATTTTAGTATTAACTAAGATTTTTCTTATAACATGACGATTTAGATCAACTCTAATCAAACTATATATTAATAAATTTTTCAAATGGTTTCATATTGATATTGTTATCATGAGTACTCTCAAACATGCATATAAAATTTGATATAAATAAGATTATATACTCTACGTATAATGCATATGTTTAATTGGTATACAATATTAATATTATACTATATTCTGAAAAATAAGTGATATTATACTTAAATATTATTTATCTGACATATGAGGAGATATAGGTGTATACATTTTTGAATATATAAAATATGGTTATGAATCATAATGTCTTAATTCTTATGAACCATTTCTCACAGGTAAATTTATAAAATTTGTTACCAATATAAAACTATGTAATAACACATACGACTATCCTATTTTTCTTACCAAGCTTAATAAGAGTGTTTATCTAATAAAACAGTTAAGTGGAGAAGATCCAAGAAAAAATCCAAGAAGCTAGGTGCTTTATTTGTACATTACAAAGTTAAAGTGGAGAATATTGGACGCATCACGACTAGTATCATGATTGAGATAAGAGTGTTTATCTAATTCTACGTTTTGATTTTATATGTTCATGTCTACTTTTGTGGAGCATTTCATCTCTTCTAGTGTTACGATGATTCAGAATTACAAGCCTACCTCTGCGAGAATAAGCTTGCATACAAATGCGAGAAGAAATTTACCGGAGTTGACCATCTCGTCACCAACCAATCCAGAAACACTAGCGGTTCAAGAAACTTGATATGCTCATTACTTGGGTAAAGAAACGTTAAACCCTTTTATCATATGTTTTTCATTACTTCGAAGAACTTCTTCACATTTGAGCAAGAGAACATTGAAGCTTCATACATAAACTAGTTCAAAAAAAAATCAAAGAAGAATCTGCTGACAAGAAGATTTGAGCGGAGTTACTTTAGAATGATGTAGAGGATGATGAAGACTCAATGGTATTGTTCCTCTCTTTTCAACACGCTAGTTAAAACTTATATGCAGCTATTATATAAAACTTATATGATATGTCAATATATTTGAGACTGAAGCTGGCAACCATTTGCGTAATATTTTGCGATCGAAGTCAGGAGTATAAAATAAGTTTTCAGACAATTGCATACCATCATCATCTACTTGCGCTTTTAGATTCCAACTTCTAAGATTGTTTCTTCTAAAGTCAGTTTTATTGGCAAACTAGATTTTGATCCGCGCTTGAAAGCGCGGAATTTTTTATGATTAAAAATTTATATAATTGGGTTTTGTCTTAGTTTAAAGAATATTTTGATATAAAATCAGTTCACCAAAATTTGTTGTGGTGATTATTTTTCATAAGTTTTTAGTTTCAGTTTTTACTTTTAGATTTTGGTTTTTGGTTTTTGGTTTTTAGTTTTTAAGTTTCTACTTTTCATTTTCAGTTTTTGGTTTGAGTTTTTAATTTTTAAACCCGCTGAGTTAGTTTGAACTAATATTACCAACAAACAAATCTCAAATAATGGAACATCTAATTCAAAACTGAAAAGATGACAAAAAAAATTTACAAAATTTTGAAATAGTTTATTTTGTAAATAAACAAAGCAACAAAATATAACATGTGTTTTCAGCTTTTGGTTTTGGATTTTAGTTTTTAGATTTGGTTTTGCTTTACATTTACTTAATCAGTAAATTATTTAAAAAAAATAAAACAATAAATTATTTAAAAGTTACCATTGAAATTTATCAAAACAAAGTGATTGTTATTTAAAATAAAAAATATATTAACATGTTTTAAATTACATGATTTAAATAAATGATTAATAATAGATAATTTTGTTTTGTTAAAAATATTAAATACCTTTTTGGATCTGAAAATAATAAATGATTTTTTTATCTTTTAAGGTGAAAAATTTATTCAATGTTTTTAGAGTTTTTTTTCTTAATACTAAGCCCAAAAACCATACTATATAATTTGTTCAAAAAATAAAAGTAAGCCCAAGACTATATTCCATAAATAACCATTGGTTTAATTTAAGTATAATTAGTAGATTTCCATATTCCATATTTTGATGATATATATTATTTTAGAACATTCCATATTCATAGGAGAAAATATGTGTTTTCGGTATACACATAGATATCTGCCATATTTTGAAGATAGTTTACATTAAGGTCGTCTCTTTACATTAATTGTGTTGGTTTAATTTAAGTAATACGGTTCAATCAATTATATGACTTATATTATTTGTAACATTCTAGAAAGGGTATAAATTTAAATGACAACTTGTATCAGTAAATAAAAAGAATGATTCTATTTTAATAGAGTAGATATATGTATATAAAGTTAGAGATAGTGTTGTAATGCTATCAATTAGGAGGTCGGCAAGGAAAGAGAAGAGGAAGTGAATGGGTGTGGTTATAACTGTTTATGAAATCTTGCCTATTTGCAAAAAAAAAATCCATGTGCTTTTTAATTGATGCTTCTACTAAAAACGCATTAACAATATTATAATCAAGCGTTAGATTTATGTTGATGAATGTGAAAATGGCTTTCTATAAATAACTTTTGAGTTTTGCCCTATATGAAAAAAATCCCCCCCCCCCTGCTTTTAACGGGTGCTTCTAAGAACATCTAATGTGCAAGAAAAATGTATATTTTACATGCTAGGGACACTACAGCACATTTTTCATGGTTAATGAAGATGGCTGATTAACATATAAAGGTTTTCATAGGTGTTGATATTATTAAGCTGTGAAGGAAGTCGTTTTTAACCACATTACATTATATTTCCGCATGAATATGTTTAACACAGCTATGTTTAGGTTTGAACAGAAAATGAGATGTTATTGAAACTTAAGAATAAAGAATTCAGCGTCTCCATTATTGTCTCTTTGTCTTCAAGATTGGACCTCATGGAGATTGTGGCAGTAATCTTTAAACACTCAGACATTATTAGGATGTATTCTACCAATTCCTTCTTCTCTTCTCTTCCTCCATAGTCTATCAGCTCAAAGTTCTCCAGACATGAGTACAAGCATTCTGGATGAGGGAACCGTGGCATCCATGAAGCAGAGACGGGAGGAGGTTCATAGGTTAATCTCTGAAAATCAACAATTGCTATCAGCTGTGAGAATTTGATGGTGCTACAATAAGAATTTTAATTAGTTAGGAGGATACTTACATAGTCAACAGTAATTTTTTTTAGTTTAGGAGTATTTCCAAGAAAAAGAAGGAGTGAATCCATCCAATCTGAGTCGCATGGTGTAATGGTACACTCTATCAGCTGTGGGAATTCGTTGGTGCTACAATACACAGCCTGCAATGGTGAAGAAAACGACATAAGTAGATGCAACAATGTGATCATAGATCTATAGAGAGAGAGAGGATAAAGAGTGTTACCAATTCATCTGTCAAATGCAACCCAAGAGACGAGACCGCAGAAGCAGATCTTAACAACTTGCTTGTATCATGGAAACTCTGACCACTAATATGAGCATCCTGGAGACAAGGCATATTCTTGATCGACCAGGAGTCTTCTGAACAGTCACTAATGTTAAGTTGTGATAATGCCGGAGTATCCATAACTAAAGACCTACCGGCATCTACTACATCATTCTCATCTGTCATTGACTTGTTGTCATTAGAGTACAATAAGAACCGTAATGAAGGCACTTTCACACTAAACTTGGCAACGTTGTCATCTTCATTACGCTTCACAACAAGGGACTCAAGAACAGGGCAGCTCGATAAGAGGTTAACGAGAGAAGCCTCGTCTTTATACATCACATATTGAAGTTCGAGTTTTTCCAGGGATGGGAAGCAAGAAGAAGTAGGAAAATCAACTAGGATATTGTGGGAGAGTTTCAGATGAAAGAGACTTTTGCATGTGTTAAGGCTCTTAGGCAATATGGCTGGATCTGCGGACCACTCAAGCGTGAAAAATAGCTCTCTCACGCCACGATTAACAGCGTTTTCAACCAACTTCCCGACATCAGCATCTGTGGAGATAAAAGGCCCAAATAAGTTCTCTATTCCATTAAGCCCAACTCCCAGCCCAGCAAGAAACCTGCAGAAACAAAAGGAAAAGTCAGTTAGTTTCTTTTCACGTGAAAGTCTCAAGACAATTGTGATTAGGAAATCATATGATGCAAGTCACAGAGGAAAAGGAATACGTGATCACTATTATTCTTCGGTATCCTGAAGGTTATTATTATCCGACACAAAGCAATAACAAGGAATAGAGAGAGACCAAGACCATAGCTATAAACTTTAGAGTTCTTGTGATTTCTAAGTTGTTATTGAGAAACACTTTTGCATTATCAATAAAGATACGTTTGATTCTCAGATATTATAAAGCACATAGTTAGATTTAAAACCTAACAAGTGGTATCAGAGCAATCCAGGTTAGATTGCGGGTGCTTTAAGAGATGTCTACTTCAAAGTTCAAGGTAGAGAGATTCGAAGGAACCGGAGACTTTATGCTGTGGAAAGTTCGTATGATGGCTCACTTTGGAGTCCTAGGGCTAAAGGACATCCTAACTGATGAGAAGCTACTGGAGGATACGCCACCTACACAGGAGGATTCAGAAGAAGATACGAAGGACACAGGAGAAGTTGCTACAGGCAAAGAATCAAAGATTGATCCAGCAAAACTTGAAAAATCGGAGAAAGCTAAAGACTTGATTATCGTGAATGTAGGTAATCAAGTTCTACGGAAGATTAGTCACTGTGAAACGGCTGCTGCAATGTGGACTGCACTAAACACATTGTACACAGAGACATCGTTACCAAATCGTATCTACCTGCAGCACAAGGTCTATACGTTCAAGATGAACGAGTCCAAGGGAATTGATGCAAACGTTGATGATTTCCTAAAGTTAGTAGCAGATCTTAATAACTTGAACGTGGATGTTTCAGAAGAGGTTCAAGCTATACTACTACTAAATTCAATGCCCCGTATGTACGATCAGCTTAAGGAGACTCTCAAATACGGCAGGGACACTCTAAAAATTAATGAAGTGACAGGAGCTGCTAAGTCTAAAGAACGAGAGTTACTTGAAAGTGGAAAACTTTCGAAATCACAAGATGAAGGATTATACGTGGAGGAAAGGGGAAGATCATCAAACAAGGGAGGTAACCGGAACTGGAAAGGAAGATCCAATAGTAGACATGGGCGTTCTAAATCAAAACCAAGATACGATAAGAACAACAAAGGGTGCTTTGTATGTGGGAAGGAAGGACATTGGAAAAGAGAATGTCCAGACAGGAAAACGCATAAAGCCGCTAATATAGCTGTGGAGCCTAAGCAGCCAATAGTACTCACAGTTAGTACACAAGACGCTAGCTCGGAATGGGTTATGGATTCTGGTTGTTCTTTCCATATCACACCCAACAAGGACGTGTTATTTGACTTGGAAGAATTTGAAGGTGGCAAAGTTCTAATGGCAAATAATACCCACTGCGTAGTAAAGGGGATTGGCAAGATCAAGATCGTGAAACCAGACGGATCTAATGTTATACTTACCGACGTAAGGTATATGCCAACTATGAGTAGAAATCTGATCTCATATGGAATGCTTGAGAAATCAGGGTGCAAATACGAAGGAGAGAACTTCATGATTCGTTTCTACAAGGATGGAAAAGAGATTATATCTGGAAAGTACCATGAAGGCCTATACTACCTACAAGGAACAGTCCCAAAAGGCGAAGTGAATGTATCACGAGCAGACATTGACAAAACTAAGATCTGGCATTCACGGTTGGGACACATGAGCTTAAAGAATCTGAATGTACTCGTGAAGAATGGATATTTGGCAAATAAAGAAGTGGATAAGTTAGAGTTCTGTGAGACGTGTGTGCTGGGAAAGTCTCACAAACAAAGTTTTAAGGCTGCTAAGCATACTTCAAAAGGCGTTTTGGAGTACATACACTCTGATCTATGGGGTGCACCAACAAGTCCTGAGAGTCTAGGCGGGTGCAAGTATTTTATAAGCTTCATAGATGATTATTCACGAAAGGTTTGGATTTATTTTCTTAAATCTAAAGATGAAGCATTCAGCAAGTTCAAAGAATGGAAGGAAGCAGTAGAGAATCAGACTGGAAAGAAAATCAAGTGTCTAAGGACAGATAACGGGTTAGAGTTTTGCAATCAACAGTTCGACAAACTATGCAAAGACTCAGGAATCAAAAGACACAAGACTTGTCCATACACACCTCAACAAAACGGTGTGTCTGAAAGAATGAACAGAACAATCATGGAGAAGGTGAGATGCATGCTCGCAGAATCGGGGTTAGGAGAAGACTTCTGGGCTGAAGCAGCGTCTACAGCGGTTTACATAGTAAACCGATCACCAAGTTCTGCCATTGACTACAAATTACCAGAAGAAGTATGGTCAGGTTCTAAACCTGATTTGAATCACTTAAGGAGTTTTGGATGTTCGGCTTATGTTCATACCATTCAAGAAAAGACAAGTCCTAGAGCTTTAAAAGGTGTCTTCATGGGATATCCATTTGGGGTAAAAGGATATCGGGTATGGTTATCTGAAGAAAGGAAATGTGTCACCAGCAGGAACGTTGTGTTCAACGAAGAAGAAATGTATAAACACACGTTAGTTCACCGTAAAGAAGCTGAAACTGAAAATACAGTTCAAGAGACAAAGAAAAAGAAAGTGACATTCAAAGAAAATCTCATAGAAGGTCCTACGCCATCTACAAATAAAACTGTAGATGCATTGGTTCAAGGTGGAGCCTCTGAACCAGATGACTCAGAAAAGTCAGAAGGAACCGGTTCTGAAGGAAAAGAAGAAAACGAAGAAGAACTGGATATCAGTGACTACATGCTTGCAAGGGACAGAACAAGGAGGAAAATCAGACCACCCTCACGGTTTGAAGATACTGATTTTGTAGCTTATGCTCTAGCTGCAGCTGAGGAGATTGAGATAGACGAGCCAAAAACATTTAAAGAAGCTATGAGGAGTAAAGACAGCAAATTCTGGAAGAATGCTGCAGGAGATGAGATGGATTCTCTTCAGAGAGCTAATACATGGACACTCATTGAGAGACCTGAGAATGCTAAAGTTATAGGTAGCAAATGGATCTTCAAGTTGAAACCCGGAATCCCTGGAGTAGAGGATCCGAGATATAAAGGAAGATTGGTGGCTCAGGGCTATTCCCAGAAAGAAGGAATTGATTTCAATGAGGTGTTTTCACCGGTTGTGAAGCATGTATCAATTAGAGTAATGCTGTCACTCGTGGTCAACAAGGATTATGAGCTTGAGCAGATGGACGTTAAAACAGCCTTTCTTCATGGAGATTTAGAAGAAAGAATCTTAATGAATCAACCAGAAGGATTCATAAGGAAAGGAGATGAGAATAAAGTCTGTTTATTGAAGAAGTCGTTATATGGTTTAAAACAATCACCAAGGCAATGGAATCTCAGGTTTGATTGTTTCATGAAGAGCCAACGGTTTGATAGAAGCAAAGAAGATCCGTGTGTTTACATGAGAAATGTAAACACCACGAAAGCTGTGTATTTACTTCTATATGTCGACGACATGCTCATTGCTTCAGGAGATAAAGAAGAAATCAGAAGTGTAAAGGACAGTTTAAACAAAGAGTTCGAGATGAAGGACTTAGGAAAAGCTTCAAGAATATTGGGAATGGATATTATAAGAGACAGAACGAAGGGAACCTTAGTGTTATCACAAGAGAACTACTTGGAGAAGGTTCTAAAAACATTCGGGATGTCTGAAGCTAGGGAAGTGACCACGCCAACCTCAACTCAGTTCAGATTAAAGAGTCTTACTAAAGACCAAAAGGAAGAAGAAGGAAGACTCATGGAAGATATACCGTATGCAAGCGCGGTTGGGAGTCTTATGTACGCAATGGTCGGTTCTAGACCAGATTTAGGATATGCAGTGGGACTGATAAGTCGTTTCATGTCAGAACCAGGAAGAGAACATTGGTTAGCAGTCAAATGGGTTCTGAGATATCTAAAAGGTGCTACAAGAAGGAGTCTCACGTTCACTAAGCACTCAGAGTTTACTATTGAAGGGTTTTGTGACTCTGACTATGCCACTGATCTTGACAGAAGAAGATCTGTTACAGGGTTCGTGTTTCAAGTCTGGGGGAATACGGTTAGTTGGAAATCAAGTTTACAAGATGTTGTAGCTCTTTCGACAACTGAAGCAGAGTACATGGCTCTTACCGCAGCCGCGAAAGAAGCTATATGGTTAAGAAGGTTATGTGGAGAGTTGGGTTTTGAACAAGAAAGTGTTAAGATTCACTGCGATTCACAAAGTGCTATAGCCCTAGCAAAGAATCATGTTCATCACGAAAGAACTAAACACATAGACACAAAATACCATTTTATCAGAGACGTTGTAGCAGAAGGCAAAGTTCACCTATCTAAGATCCACACTAGCAAGAATCCAGCAGATTTCTTAACTAAAGCCTTACCTGGGCCTAAGTTTGATCTCTGTTGTGATCTCCTAAACATCGCCTAAGAGGGCTATGCGCCACAGGTAATCGTCATTGTTGCAACCTCGTCACAGAAGAAGTAAGAGTTAATGCTCCGGTTACTTCTTAAACAACAATGAATGAACTTTAGAGTTCAAAGGAAACATTACCTGTGGAGGGGAAGAGGCGAGGCTTAAGTATTCTCAGCTCAAGGTGGAGTAGCTGAAGAGATATCAAACGCAAAGGAGTAAGCAAAGGATGATAAAAGTCAATGAAGAAAGATTGACCAGGATAAAGGTATACCTGAGAGAACGTCTTAAACAGCTGAGACAGCTGAAGGGAGACGAGTATCTAAAATTGGCAAAGGAAGAAACATATCACCAAAAGTTATAAACATGTCTTAAACAGCTTAAAGTAAAAGTCTTTACAAGGAAGCTGAAGGGAGACAAGTGTTGTTGAACAGGGAAAGCTCTTAAGAGTCGCCGGAAACGTTCAAAGGAGGATACGTGATGTGCATGATCACTGAAGGTCTAGCTGTGACATTAAAAGAAGATTAAATCAACTATCACCGCCAAGATGAAATTCGAGATTATAAAATCCTAAATGAAAAAGAAATCGCGAGCTTTTTCAGGATGAGATATCTTACCGAGTTCTGAGGAGGTGATTAGGAGATCGAAGTTTGGTTTCTTTTGCTAAAGATGGGATTGAAGCGATTGGGGAAAAATACGATCTATCAACAAGGAATCAAGGCGAGAAGAAGAAGAGAGGCTGTAGCGGCGTACGAGCTACACGGATCCGTCGGAGAAACGACGGGAGCAGTCACCGGTGTGACGCCATCACCATCTCGAGACTCGTCAGTAGAGAGAAGATGAATTTTGTTTTTCTGGTCTTCGATGTTTACGAAGAGGAAGACAAGAAGAAGCTAAACTTGGGCCTTTAGGTGGAGATTTGTGGAGATAAAAGGCCCAAATAAGTTCTCTATTCCATTAAGCCCAACTCCCAGCCCAGCAAGAAACCTGCAGAAACAAAAGGAAAAGTCAGTTAGTTTCTTTTCACGTGAAAGTCTCAAGACAATTGTGATTAGGAAATCATATGATGCAAGTCACAGAGGAAAAGGAATACGTGATCACTATTATTCTTCGGTATCCTGAAGGTTATTATTATCCGACACAAAGCAATAACAAGGAATAGAGAGAGACCAAGACCATAGCTATAAACTTTAGAGTTCTTGTGATTTCTAAGTTGTTATTGAGAAACACTTTTGCATTATCAATAAAGATACGTTTGATTCTCAGATATTATAAAGCACATAGTTAGATTTAAAACCTAACAGCATCAGTAGGACAACATCGACCTAGTTGGATAGACAAGTTTCGTAGGACAGGTGCTTTGTGCAATTCCATTGACTTTTTAAGAAACCACCAAACACTTTTTGTGCTTTTGCTTTCTTGGTACGCAAGTATGGGCAGCATCGTCCAGATAAAACGCCATCGCTTAGACAGAATCATAGTAGAAACAGCATCTTTTGTCGGGATTGACGACAGTATCGTCACAAGTAAATCATCAGGTAAGTCACTGATCCTGTCTTCACAACCTATCTCTTCAACTCTACCACCACGATTTTCAGCCGTTTCTGCCATCTTCGCGAGATTAAACCCTAGGAGACTTGGCAATTGATTGATTCGGTGCCGTGAAAAACGAAAATAAAAAAAAATCTTCTAACGATTCATACGTTCCTGATCAGATATATATAACTTTAGTATTTCCTTTTTAGTTATTATCTTTTTTTTTTTGACAACGTATTTCCTTTTTAGTTAATAAATATAAAAATATATATCTTGTATTTATTCATTAAGCTTTTATTATTGTGGCCATAATAATACTGTATTGTTTATTACCAATCAGAACTGTTTTGGTCAATATAACCAATGTCTTGACTGGGAAATGCTTAGCAAAAATTTAATCAAGCAATGGCCTTCCAAAGGAAGAGGAGTGCGCAGTAGCAAACGAATATGCATGTGTAAGTTAATGATTATTTTCCATCATAACTTGGGTTAATAGTCGTCCAACACGACACCGTTCTAACACTTCTACCTACCTTGACGGTTTGACCTTTCATTATTATATTTGACCTCCGATGAGTCTAACTTTTGGCTTCTCCGTGACTATATAGTATATTGATTGGTGCTGTATCGTTTAAAGCGACTTGTTTATCAGTCCAAAGCTTCTTTTGTTCCTTCTTAGATGACAATTATGATCGGTAAAACAAGCAAGATGATCACCATGGCGGCGCTGCCTCCGTGTAAAGCCTGAGAGTTTGTCGGTGATGATGGCCACCACGAAAAACGTTGCGAGCCCCGAGCGATATGTCGAGGAGGTTATAAACACACATATGTTTAGCTCATTTGTCTTTCTCACCACTTTCATATTCCTTATCATCCTCACGGACTCTGCTATAGGCATACAATAAATCATATACAATTCGTATGGTTTTCAATACAAGATTTCATTCATTATTCACAAAAAAAAAAGAAAAGATTTCTTAGTTTCTGTTTTCCCCTTTTCTTGAGGTCATCATACCATTGTTCTAAATATTAGTTTAGATGAACCAAATCATGAAGTAGCCAGAGAAGTTAAAGTATAGCTCGGATTATGATCGAGGATGAACCAAGGACTAGGAGTCACCTCGTTGATTAGACCCGCCATGACTCCACCTTTGGCTCCTATATCTTTGAAGAAACTTAGGAGATTAAAAGTGGTTTAGTCGTAACCTAAGGTTTTCTTGATTACTCTATATTATCAAAAGTGGCAATAAATTCAATGCATGGAATGATATGGTTGCCCTGGTAATGAATTTAATACTTAGAAACATGACGTAAAATTTTTTGATAGGATGGTGACTATTACATAAATAGTATGGAGAAGAAAAGAAAAGTACAAATTCACATTTGTGAAATCATTAAGAAAAATATATTCATAGTCCTTTGGACTGAACAAAATATCCATCAACATGATGACTTTTTAACCCAATGTTTGGCTTTTTGTTTGGATTAGTGACTTGTTTTTGTTTGCTTTATACTTTTAAGTCATTTCCATCGATCTTGTAGCCACTGCATCCTATCACCCCTAGGGTCGATAGCTTGCTCCACAAACAAAAGAAGATTTTTTTTTGCTTTTATGAAATAAACGATAGAATATATATATTTTTTTTTTTTGGCACAAATAAACTTTAATAATTAGAAAAGGCCTCAAGCCCAGTTTACCCTACAGGGTTTACAAAAGAAAAAGCCACCAGGGCCCGTTTTCCTCGGTTTTAAAAACGATAGAATATTAAGAGTCAAATTCAAGTATAGAATGTGTACGACATTCTATACCTTTTCAAACGGATGAGCAAAGAAAAAACAACGTTTAAAATGACGCTTCTTGCTCCACAAACAGACAGCATCATGACTTTCAACGTCTCCATGAATATGTATTGCATGGTTCTGATTGGGTTTGAACAGAAAATGAGATATAATTGAACCTTACGAATATAGCTTTCAGCTTCTCCATTATTCTCTTCTTTTTTTTAAGTTTCGACCTCAAGGAGATTGTGGCAGTCTTTAAACACTTAGAGGTTTCTAGGATGTATTCCACCAATTCTTTCTCTTCAACTCTTCCTCTATACTTTATCAGCTCAAACTTCTCCAGACTTGATGACAAGCATTGTGGATGAGGCAACCGTAGCATCCATGAAGCAGAGGCGGCAGGAGGTTTATAGGTTAAACTCTGAGAAGCAACAATTCCTATTAGAGGTGGGCACAAGGCGGATACTTGCTATTTTAGCGATATTTGATACTTAACTTGCCTTATTCGTGTAATGAAAATTTTGACTTGTACTTGCCTTGCTAAAAACGAGTACTTGTTTTTCCGAGTACTTGCTAAAAAATGAATTACTTGCAAGTTACTTACTTTGATTTATTACTTGCTATTTGTAAATACTTGTGAGTTATGTGTGAGTACTTGTGAATTACATATATAATTACGAGTATTTAAAGAATTATTTTCTCAATAATTATTTACTAAAAATGCACATAAAAGTTTATTTTGTTTATTCTACTTAAAACATAAAAAAATATAATAAACAAAATATTTGTACATGTTATAAAAAAGAAGAACCAAGAAAAAAAACATATATCTCTGTATAGCAACATTATTTACTTCTCATAATAACAAAAACATCTTCTTTGAGCAAGTAACGAGTAATATCAAGGCGAATAGTTAATTTTTTTTCTATACTTGTTACTTGCCTTTTACTTGCAAGTATCTAATTTCTAATACTTGATACTCGACTTGATAACAACGAGTACTTGAAAAAACGAGTCAAATACGGGATGAGTAACGAGTATAAGGCGAGTAACGGGTATTTGTGCCCAGCCCTAATTCCTATCAACTGTGAGAATTTGATGGTGCTACTACAATAACAATTTTGATTAGTTTGGAGAATACTTACATAGTCAACAGTAAATTTTTTTAATTTAGGAGTATTTGCAAGAAAGATAATGAGTGAATCCATCCAGTCTGAGTCGCGTGGTGATATGGTACACTCTATCAGCTGTGGGAACTCTATGGTGCTACAATACACAGCCTGTAAGGTGAATAAAACTAACATAAGTAGATGAAACAATGGAATCACAGATCTATAGAGAGAGAGAGAGATAGAGTGTTTACCAATTCATCTGTCAAATACAAACATAGAGACGAGACCACAGAAGTAGATTTTAACAACTTGCTCATATCATGCAAACTCTGACCACTAATAAAAACACGCTGGAGACAATGCATACTCTTGATCGACCAAGAGTCTCCTGAAATGTCACCAATGTAACATTGTGTTAATGCCGGAGTATCCATAACTAAAAACCTACCGGCATCATTCTCATCTGGTGACATAGCATTAAAATACAATAAGACCCGTAACGAAGGCACTTTCACACTAAACTTGGCAACGTTGTCATCCTTAATACGCACCACAAACAGTGTCACAAGAATGGGGCAGCTCGATAAGAGGTTAACGAGAGAAGCCTCGTCTTTATACATCACATAGTAAAGTTCGAGTTTTACTAGGGATGGGAGGCAAGAAGAAGGAGGAAAATCCACGAGAATCTTGTGGGAGAGTTTCAGATGAAAGAGACTTTTGCATGTGTTAAGGCTCTTAGGCAATATGGCTGGATCTGCGGCCCATTGAAGCGAGAAAAATAGCTTTCTCACGCCACGATTAACAGCGTTTTCAACCAACTTGCCCACATCAGCATCAGTAGGACAACGTCGACCTAGTTGGATAGACAAGTTTCGTAGGACAGGCCTTTTGTGCAATTCCATTGACTTTCTAAGAAACCACCAAACACTTCTTTTGCTTTTTCTTTTGCTTTTGCTTTTGCTTTTGCTTTCTTGGTAAGCAAGTACGGGCAGCATCGTCCAGATAAAACGCCATCGCTTAGACAGAATCATAGTAGATACAGCATCTTTTGTTGGGATTGACGACAGTATCATCACAAGTAAATCATCCGGTAAGTCACTGATCCTGTCTTCACAACCTATCTCTTCATCTCTTCCACCATGACTTTCGGTAGTTTCTGTCATCTGCGAGAGATTAAACCCTAGGAGGATTGGCAATTGATTGATTCGTTGCCGTAAAATAAAAAATAAAAAATAAAAAACAATCTTCTATTATGAACAGATATATATAACTTTAGTACAATAAAACCTCTATAAATTAATAATGGTGGGATTTTGAAATTTTATTGATTTATAGAGATATTAATTTACGAAAGTTTCCTTATTTAGATTTGTTTGTATTTTTTTCCATTTTTATTTATAAAATCAAAAAAATTTGATTTTAGCATATGTACATTATTTAAATTGTTTTATTATATTATTTGGTGTATATTTTTATGTTTCATAGAATTGTTACATGGTTTTCTATATAATTTAACTAAATATTATCAAAATATATTGAAATGTTTAAAAAATACAAGTATTTTTATAGTAAATATAAAACCAATAATATAATGTTAGATTGTACTTATATAAAATTATATATAGCTAGATTATTAATTTATGATTTTAGTGGGACCATATATTTACATGCCAGTTTTAAAACCTAAAACCATTTATTGTCGTTTATGCATTGTTTAAAATTGATTTATAAAACTAATTTAAAAATCATTAATACATGACTTTATTATAAAACTAATTTATAAATCCTAAATTATAATTTTTAACACTACTTAAAATTTAATATAATGTAGAAATATTAAATTATTTGATAATGGTAATATAAGAATTTTTTTTCATATATCGCCATTATCAAATATAAATAATTTAAAAAATTAAGTTATAATGATCTTAAATAGTATCGACGATAATTAATTCATGAAGTTAGCTTTACTTAGAGTAGGGCGCCGGTCTTTTCTCCCTAGTTCCACTATTTCCGACTTTCGAATCATACTTTTCTCCAGGTCCAAAAAATAATGCAGAGTTATCTTGTTCTCATTGATTTTTTTTTTTTTTGGACAAACATAACTTTTCATTTCACACTAGAGTTTAGTCTCCAACAATGGAGTTCATTACAGACCTTGCAAGAGAAATGCAACTAAAGAAAATTACATCAAAGAGAGGTACAAAGTGATAGATAACAAACGTGAAACCGAACAGTTCAGACGGAACCGCCAAGGATCGGACGCTTGAGAAGACAGCGCATGAAACCGCGCGATAGACAGCAAAGGCTTCAGCCATAAGTGCTGATGATACATGATTGCGAGACTCGCAGAGATTTGGTAGGGCGATGGTATTCTCACCCGAGAAGATGACTCCAATGTCGCAATGCCAAGACTTAGCATCCCAAACTGCATCCTCATTACAGAGATGTCCTCGTATCCCCACAGCACAAGGAATAGCAGAAGCGATGTGATACCAAGATGTTGAGCCCTTGACCATTACAAAGAGTGCATCATCTGTTGACAGTGCTACACATGAGTAACAACAATATAAAACCAATGGTGATAGGAGAGTTGAGTTTGGTTTCAACGTAGTGGTGATAATCGATCTCTGAACCCACCACGTATCTGAAAATCTGCAAACTAACATTGAGTATTCCACTCTAGACGAGGTTAAACAATTCTGAAACCAAGAATCAATTCGCAGCGAACACTCTATAGCAGAGTAGAAACAAACAGGGGACATAAAGATGTAGCTAAAGGACACAAAGTCCATCAGTACAATATCAAATAAGGCTCGAATCACCCACACATCTATCATTGCATCCCATTCAAAAGAATAAGGATAACCAACAAGAAAGGAACTTAGGTGAACCTGGACGTTTATGAGCGAATGGATAAACATGAAGCTTGAACAAGATCTGTTAGACAACCCATTAAGCCGCTGACAGAGACCCGACCTGTATACCACAGGAAAAGAAAGCTGACAAGGAGACAACATGTATAACACATGAAAAGAACGCCAGAAAACAGGGATGGCGTCACCAAAGACATCATGAGCAGAATCACCCTCACATAGCTTACTTGAAACCCATGAAGGATTGAACCTCACATCAAGGGCTTGAGTAGCTTTTGGAACAGATCTGGCGTATGTAACAAAGAGTCCAAGAGTAAAGAGTCTGACGTCTGGTGGGTTTGGAGCTTCTGGTGGCTTGACGGGGAAAGGAGTTTCATCTGGTGGTTCTGGCGGTGAGGGAGCAGCAAGCGTCGCAGGAGGAGACGGAGGAGGATGGAGTTGCGATGGAGGAGACAGCCGAAGAGAGGGAAAATAAAGTTGCGACGGAGGCCTGAGATGCGGCGGAGGAGACGGAGGACAACCGTACCCAGGAGCACCACCACCATCACCATTCTCAGAATCCATCAAAGATAGAGGTTTCAGAGTGAGGAACAAGAAAATAGGTGGGGGCTCAGGGGGGGCATGAGGGCCTGGAGGGTCCATCGAAAGCACCAAGTCGAGATCCGGATCTGGTAGTTCAGGCAGTAAGAGAGACCCAGAAGAAGTAGTTGCAGAAGACTCCATTGGAGGAGAAAAGGAGAGGCTTCGAGATGGTGAACGAGACGTCTTCAAGGCGGTGGTGAGGCTCGTGGTTAGAACAGGGAGGAGCTGCGCCGGAGAGAGATCTTCATTCTGGTGGTGGAGATTGTTGTGCGGCTACCTCGGACTTCGTGCCAGAGAGAGAACCAGCTAGGGCGAACTCTGTGTGTTTATGTTCTCTGCTTTGCGCTTGTTGTTCTCATTGATTTATGAACCAATACATTGGTAGGTTATGTAAAGTTCATAGGGAACAAACTACATAAGGTTAGGAATCTTGGGTGAGGGTTCCCTGAGTATTCTCCTTGTCAGCCACTCCATTGGTCACCTACATTTCCCCATATCTTGTAAACTTCTTCCATCATTCAAGATTTAACTCATGTTAACTTAATAAGCTTGAGAAAAACTCTTTCGGGGGTAACTATCATACCATCAAACTTGATGGTTAATGGTGTAGGCCTCAGATGAGAAACTTTGCACCATTGACACCTGCTATATAAAACACTAAAGACTTTGCTTCCACGCTTCCTGAGATGTCTCATCACCATCTAGATTACTCTTCTCCTTCCCCACCTCAACAATGAGAGATGTGTTGTTTCTCCATGTGGGTCAACAAAGATGCAGTGAATATGATTGAAACGACGTGGAGTGGATCGTAAATAAAATATATAGATGGGCTTGGACAACTTTCTACCGAAGTAGTAGACCCTCTAAATGATTTAGAGTCTTTGTCTCTTTACTGTTTAAACCAATATTCTTACTCGCAACCGGTCAGTTGGAACTTTGACAACACTTCAGTTTCTTTTTGGCAGAAGAGTGAGAGTATCAGTATCTTTTTCTGTAAATTGGAAGAACTAATTTTCGGAATTTTGAGATGATAAATATAGGTATGGATATTCATGGTATAGTTCCGGTGACATTTACATAGTTAGTATTTAATAAGTTACAAAATTAAATTATATAACATCACTAGGCTACCATCTATATACCAATCATAATAATTAACTACAGCTTGCATAAAGCAAAATGTAAAGCATTTAATGTACGGATCTAACAAAATTCTCTATGATGGTGACTGAGAAATGCAGATACACCAAACACCTCATTGCCTATAATTTTCTTTTGACACGGATACGTATTAATATGTATTTCATTTATTTTTTTGGAACGCTTCTACATTAATATGTATTTCATATGTTGCATTCTCTCCTACACCACGAGTACCTCCGCAACAACATGCTGTAGTTTTTTATTTTATTTGTTTTTGTATTATAAATTTATATATTATTTTATGACTTTTTATATAGTTTTTTTTAAAGAATTTTAATTTTAAAATTTTTGATTTTATATTTTAAATTACGAATTTTATAAATAAAAATCAATAAAACTTTTTAAAAAAATATAAATTATATATACATCCAAGGAATTACAAGTAAGTTCGTTGTAATATTTACTACGACTTTACATGTACTACTAGTAATCTCCTCGTATATTTACATAGAATTAACATCAAACTTTTACGTGGCAATAACATCGAAATAGAATGAGAAGTTTACGAAGGAAGTTAACGTTGAAGTTACGACGAACCTTTCTACTTGTCTTTTACAATGACCCTTGTTCCTCGTAACATTATGTTGAGTCTATGACGAAAAGTCCATACGACGGACGATTAACAACGTTTCTTTGTTAATTCGTCGTAATGATTCTATTATAACGAATAAACTACGAATATAGTCCTAGTAAAAAAAAATTGTTTTCTTGTAGTGATAATGCTTTCAATACTATGCTCTTCATTTAGGTTTCATGGCAATTTTTTTCGAATAAGGCTTTTTCTGAAAAACATTGAAATTTATCAAACATGATTTTCTGTTAATTCAACCAAAATATTGGAGATTTTTTGAGTATTGAAATAAATCTTTTGTGTGATCTCTAAATAATTTAAGAAAAGAAAATAATTAAAAAAATTAACTGTATATACTTAAAAATAAATATTTATGTTTTTTTTTCTCCGGACGGATACACACGAGAAGATGTCGGTTTGTCTGTCCTCCTAAACTATTAAGTGTATGTTAAAGGTTCGTCATTATGTGAAAGAAATTGACTGAGACAATAAAATTAAATGGCATGACAAATTGGTAGGATTGTATCACTGTCGATTGCTTGAACCATGTAATTAATTAGCTTTGTTTACATGTGCGTCACTTCGTCGCCCCACATACTATTTTCTACTCTTTAAAAATTCATGGGTAAATCCATGTATGCTTTACTAGTAAAAATTCACTACATCTTAT